AATCCTACTTCCGTAGTGATACTGCCTCGGAAACCCAAGGAGGGGTCGCTATGAGTCAGGTCTGACTCGACGGCACATAACAACAACAACAACAACAATATAGTTGGGGGAGCTCTGGTAGCATAGTGCCTAAGGTACCTGACTGCTAACCAGAAAACTGGCGGTTCAAACCCACCAGCCACTCCTCGGAAGGAAGGTTGGGCAATTCTACTTCCGTAGTGATACTGTCTCGGAAACCCAAGGAGGGGTTGCTATGAGTTGGGGCCGACTCGACTGCAAACAACAACAACAATATAGTTGGAGGGATTAGGTGTGAAAGAGAATCTCTGCTGTTTCTTATTCAAGGGCAAAATAGATCTATTAGCAATACCACAGTAAATTATGAAAAAGATAATTTGTGACCACTTTCAACTCAATGCCATCCAGTCGATTTGGACTCAGAGCTAACCCTATTGGGTTTCTGAGGCAGTAAATCTTTACAGAAGTAGACTGCCCAGTCTTTCATCCATAACGTGGCTGGTGGATTTGAACTGCCAGCCTTCTGGTTAGCAGTCAAATGCCTTAAGCACTATACCACCAGAGCTCCTTGTGACCACTTTAGAAGTGGCATTTATCAATATCTGAAGCCAATATAAATTTTGTCCAAACAAGTCATTGCCAAAATAAATTCATTAACCCCATTTCGTTTTTGTAATAGCTCAGCAGAATATTACATATCTCTAGACATGTAACTGATACAAATTTTAAATTGACACATGCTAACTACAGCAAGAATCCTGGTGATGTAACAGTTAAAACACTGAGCTGCTAACTAAAAGGTGAGCAGTTTGAAACTCTCAGATGCAAACCCCCTAGCAGCTTCATAGAAGAAAGATGTGGCAGCATCTGCAAAGATTTATATTCTTGGAAACCCTATGGAGCACTTCTACTTTGTCCTATAGGGTCACAATGACTCAGAGTCAACTCAATGGAAATGGGTTTGTTTTTGTTTTTGTTTTTAAACTAGAGCAAGATTAATTTAAAGAGGTAAATGTTAGGTCCTGCATTTAGGCTCAGTTATTTAATGGTTAAGTGAGATACATTAATGAGTTCAAATGAAAGACTTGAGGTTTTTAGTTAACTGTAGTTCAAATGAAATAACAAGATGATGAACCTGCTTAAACTAATAATTCCTAAATAGCATTAATAAAAATATGATGTCCACATCATAAAATATAATAGGTTCTGTACTTTGCATTGGCCAGGTCCCCCTGAAACACTGGGTAATTTTTTTGTTCACATCTTTTTAAGTACATTAGAAAAACAGAGCATCTAGAAAAATCAACAGTAGAGTTTAGTTCTGATTCTGCCGCCTAAGGGATACTTTACTATGGACAACTTATTTAAACTCTGTGAACCTCAGTTTCCTCATTGGTAAAATAAAGAGAATGGACTAGACGGCTAAGATTTCTTTCAATGCTAAATCACCACCCTAAAGCCACTCCTCGGAAGGAAGGTTGGGCAATCCTACTTCCGTAGTGATACTGCCTCGGAAACCCAAGGAGGGGTCGCTATGAGTCGGGGCCGACTCGACGGCACATAACAACAACAACAACAACAAAATCTTCCATGACTAATACATGATTTCTAATTTTTTACCTTCCTTTTATCCTGTAAACTAATAAAAATAAAGAGAATTTGAGAATGTAGGCACATGAGCAGTACAGAGAAGTGGTTAAAAAAAATAAGATGCTAGAACCAGCCTACCTGGGCTTGAATTGTAGCTCCACCACTTACTAGACATATGACCTTGACATTCATCAATCTATCTCAATTTTTTTGGCACATTTCAAAGTAAACTGCCAACAAGACTACATTTCCCCTAAATACTTCAGTACTCTTACTGCCTTTTTTAAATTGCTGTGATAAAATACGTATTACAAAAAAATTAACATTTCAACCATTCTTAACTGTACCCCATTGCCATTGCCATGGAGTTGATTCCTACTCATAGCGGCTCTATAGGACAGAGTAAAACTGCCCCACAGGGTTTCCAAGGCTGTAAATCTGTATGGATGAAGTCTGCCTCATCTTTCTCTCAAGGAGCAGCTGGTGGGTTGGTGGGTTCAGAACCACCAATCTTTTGGTTAGCACCAAAACTACAGCACCACCAGAGCTCCTTCTTAAGTGTACAAGTCCTAGAAAGAGCCCGTTTGGCAGCTCTGTTGTTATACTACAACTTCTATACTGATGCCCACATGCTTCTGTTCACCCAAAGAAAACGGCATGGCCAGGCTAACAGGTGCAGCATATCAGAAAGCCTAAAGAACTTGAAAATACAATAGAATAAGTAAGAGTAAGGATTTGGAGGCAATGTCAGAATATAAATCTCAACTGACACTTCCTAGCACATAATCTTGGACAATTTACTTAATCCCCTTTGGGCTCAGTTTCCTCATCCTTTTTTTTTCAAAAAAAAATAAAATAAAATCTGCCCAATGGTGAGATACACCCCTAGTGAAGACACTGGTTCTCATACATAGTCTACATGACTTAAAATCAACGGCGCTCTTGGCCCCGAGGAACCCGGCTGCATAGTACTCAGAATGTAGATTGTTGTTGTTGTTATGTGCCGTCCAGTCGGACCCGACTCATAGCGAGTCGTCCTTGGGTTTCCGAGGCAGTATCACTACGGAAGTAGGATTGCCCAACCTTCCTTCCGAGGAGTGGCTGGTGGGTTTGAACCACCAGCCTTCTGGTTAGCAGTCAAGTGGTTTAGCCACTAAGCTACCAGAGCGCCTGAATGTAGATTAGGCCCGGCGAAATAAAGCCTACAGCCTCAGCACCCCGCGCGCAGTTGCCCCTTGCCCGGACCCTCCCCTCTCGGCGGCCTCCCACCTCAAGCACACCTCAAGGCCAG